TGGCATCAGACCATGGACACACATCGTCCCCTGAACAAGCTCAATTTGAAAGAGCAGGAAATGGTAAGGTTTCAACTGTTCCTGGACCTTCTGGGAACCTGTTTTCTTCTTCTATATAGAAGTACCTGGGGAACTCTCCCTAGTGATGTGCTCTTTAGGTAGGTCTAGATAATGTAACTTGAGAAAGTATGAGACACTACACTTGTGTAGGGTTGCATGGACCAATGGACTGAGAGTCAACCTGCATTTTATTTCAGGCTGTGATATTGAGTGGCTGGGTGACCTTGGGCAAGTCATGTCACAGTGTTGTGCCTCAGTTTCCCCATCAGCAAATGGAGACAATAATGCTTAAACAATTTTTATAAAGCACAGTAAGATCTGTGGACAAAAAATGATGCCTGTGTTAAGCATTATTAACCACGGTCCCAGCTGAAGCAGGCTAAAAATTCTGGAAGTGGTTCAGAATATTTCATAGTTGGGAGATTTTGTAATCTGCTACCATTTCAGGAAATTTGGAAGCAATTATTCACACTGAAAAGACAAGATATGTGAGGAGTGGAAAGCTCAGAAAAAAAATTAGTTTTGAAAGCAGAGAGACCACAGTAACACTATCTAAAGTTTCTAAGCTGCCTGTAGACTCCAGAATTAGTTAAACATTCCAAATGTAGAATACAATATGTTGGAAAAATTTTGCTTGGTGCACATTTTAAGTACCTGATCTACAACTCACTAAAGTATAGGGAAAGGTTCTAATAGATTTCAGTAGCCTTTGGTTCAAACTGTAGGGGAAGAATTGAAACTCTACTTACAACTTTGCCATGCTATGCTAATAAAGAGCACATCTAATGTGAATTATTTCCATGTTGAAAGGTCTGTAGGGTTCAAGCAGGGAAATCTCTTTTCTATGTTGTGAAGGGGAAATTCTGTTCTTGTGAGATCTAGCACAAACTTCTGATCTCTGGCATGGCTGTCCATCTTTCACCATGTACTTAGATATTAATTGCTGTGATAGCATCGTGACAGAATGAAAAACCTCCCATATTTCAGAGTGTGAATCTTCCTTTTAATGAAAAAAGCAGAGCACAAGTTCTTCGGAAGTCAGAGAGGCGAAACAGATGTATTTTTAGCCATTCCTTCATGTCTATCAGTTGGTAGCAAAAAGTGTGTGTGTGTGTGAGAGAGAGAGAGAGAGAGAGAGAGAGAGAGAGAGAGAGAGGCAGAGACAGAGGCTATGTATAGACTGCACGCTTCTTTTGGAAGAAACTTTTTTCAGAAGAGATCTTCCAAAAAAACTTCTTCCAAAAGAGAGCATCCACACACAAAAGCGCATCGAAAAAGTGCTCTGCTTTTTTGAAAGATAGCGTCCACACTGAATGGACCCTAACTTACATTTAAGTTGTGATTACTATGGACAGAGTGGCCACCAGGGCACCTGTGCTTTTTCTTCTTTCCTCTTCTTCCGAAAGAACTCCCTCTTCCCCATCTACACATGCCTTTTTCCAAAAGAGCTCTTTCGGAAAAAGGCTTTATCCTCATAGAAAGAGGATTACCAATGCTGGAAAACCCTCTCTGTTCTTTTGATTTACTTTTGGAAGAACGCGATTGCAGTGTGGACGTAAGTGAAGGGTTGGGTTTTTTTTTGTTTATTTGTTTTTTTTAAATGGCTGTTTTTCCTACATAACTCTGTAGTTTAGACATACCCAAAGACACAAAGAAAACTTAAAGAATAGTCCCAACAGAAATGTCCACAATTCATATGTGGCCCCAGTGATTTTGCAGTTTGAAGGATAAAACTGAGAAGGGTGAAATTGAGGCAGACTTCTCAATTTTATTTATTAAGATTATTCTTAATTCTTCCTACTAGGAAAAAGCAAAACAATCCTCCATCCCAACAACCTCTCCACTACTGTCTTGCTAGAAGATACCAAAGGAAACATCTCTGAAAAAAATGTACAAATCTGTGCATCTCACTAGTCATGCACATGCCTATTAGCTTACTTAGTTGGGAGAACAATCAATAACAGACGTATTCAGCATTTACCACAGAGTGACTTTCTCTCCAAAGTGTATTCTGCTCTGAATCAGGATTGAAAAATAACACAGGAGCCCATGCATGCTGGCAGATTTGCTTTGAACAGCATAGTGGATGCAAAAGATGATATAGATGCTAGAGGAAGTGTAGCAAGGAAAGAATTCATAGTGGAATGTAAGGGCTGACCAGGGATATCAATGCAAGGGAAATGAGATTAGTGCTGAATCAAGTCTGATAATCACCTGGGAGAAAAGGAGAGGAGGGTCATCAAAGATGAGATTCAGGACTGGATGTGAAAAAATGTAGGCAGATCAAATGCTTTTTAAGTTGGTTCAGATCAGAGATTGGATGAACGTTGGGCAGTTCTTATTTTGCCCAAACTAGTTCAACCATTCTTGATTTCTTATTCAATTTATTAATCTCTATGGTTATTGTTTTGTCCTTTAACTTTATGCGGGAAGTGGTTTCACAGGGAAGAAAAGAGGTTAAAAGCATCCTCTTCTACTATTCCATCCTTTCAGAATGAAAAAACTCTTTCATTTCCTCTTCATTGTTCTTTCCTAATTCCAGCCTCTTTCTCTCCAAGCTGTCTCCTACCTTACTATTTCCTCTTATATTTTGCTTGCCTCCCTCTCCCCACATCCACTCTCACTACACATGCCACCAACTCCACACCACTGTCATCCACGGATTGAATCAATTCCTCCATGAACTCACCATGGCCAATCCAGATCTCACCCGCTCAGTAATTCCCACTCATGTACATCTGTTCCCTGGGCTGAGAAGTCATCGTCTTCCTTCTGAACCTTTCAACAACTCAGAATGATCTTCAGCTCACCTCAGCTCTGAACTGTCTCCTACATAATGCCTCCAGGCATAGTATTCTTTCCCTCAGAGCCCCCCAGGCATCCCCCACCTAGCTCATTACTGGCAGTTCATTATTTCTACTGGAAGGAAGCTGTACAGTGAAAAAGCCATGTAGGGCCCAGGCAACAAACTGGAAAACTGTCGGATGTACCACTTTCCCACTGGATCTCCAATGCTTAATCCTTTGCTGTCTTTAAAAAGAAGTAGCATTTCACTTGTTCATTTCCCAAACAGCTTCAACTGTGACTTTCTCCTTAAAACGGACTTTTTAAATCTTTTGCATAAAGATAATATGGCATTGCATTCTGAGAAATTCTGGCGAATGTGAGAGTTTCTTAGAGCTGCTATCCAGAGCCCATTAAAGACAGTTCCAGATGTGAGACTCTTTTTACATATATTGTAGAAACTCATACGTTAATCCAAGTTCCATTGCTTTTACTATGCTCTTCAGAAATGTGATTAAGCATTTAGAGCCCAGTTTGGCATTCCTTGTGCAACAAACTTCCAAGAAAAGTCCATGGGAGTGTATGGTGCATCAGGAATCTAAGGTTTGCATCATAAAATCCTAACAGCTAAACTTGTCTCAGCTTTGTTAAATGACTTCAGAGGGGTGAGTAAGACTGTGTTATCCCAAGTCTCTGACTGAGAGAGACTCTGGAGTGAAAAGAAAGAATGGTCTAGTCGTTAGGGTATTAACCTGCATCTTAGCAGACATGGGTTCAAATTGTTGTGCCATCACAGACTTCTTATGTCAACTTGGACAAGTCACTTAACCTTTCTGTGCTTCATATTCCCATCTGTATAAAGGATATATTAGGACTTTCCTGCCTCAGAGGGATGCTGTGACACTAACAATATTGAAGAGTGTGAGCTGCTTTTATATTATAGTGATGGAGCCCTTACTACATAGAAGTACCACTCATCTACTCATCAGCAGATGGGAGGATAGAGAAAGAGCAGCTGAAACCACCAGCAAATAGTATAAGTGCCCTCTTCCGGTTTGACTAAAGAGAGTAGGTGGGTGAAGTGATATCTTTTACTAGACCAATTTCTGTTGGAGAGAGAAACGAATTTTCAGTCTCACATAGAGCTCTTCTTCAGGTCTGGGAAATGGACTTTGAACATGCATCTGCACTGCACCCGTACCTCGAAATAAACTATGCAATTTGTGCTATGCTTCTTCCAAAGTAATTTTGAAATAGCTTATTTTGAAATGTGCTGCTGTCCTACACAGCTGCAAAATTTTGAAATAAAGTGCTATTCTGAAACGTCCCTTAACCCTCATGGA